ACATTGATTACTTCTTGTGGTAGCCTCCAAAATGGCCCCAATAATTCTCACCTTCTGGTACTCATGCTCCTGTGTATAGTTCCCTCCCAGAATAAATGCAGTAGACCTCTTGAAGAAGTGACAGTGTGTGACTTCCAAGGTTGGGTCACAAAAAACATTTCAGTTCTGGCTTGATCTCTGGATTGCTCACTCTGGTGGAAGTCAGCTGCCCTTAAGGTTATATTATGAGGAGAAAAAACTACCTGAAAAAAATCAGTGATTTCACGTAATTCCCACTGAAGCTCCATGGCTAGGATCTCCTGGAATAGCCAGAAACTCCAAAATCATAGTCCTATTTTGATAATATCTCAGCCAGAATATTCTATAGTCTTTAGCTAGCAAAGGAAGGATTCGATGTCTTATTAAGTTCACTTTGCCCTACTCTCGCTGCCAAGAAATGCTATTAGCACAGCATGCTCATCATGAGATGCCAGCTCTCATTCACTAGACCGCAAACCTTAATTCAACGCAAATGTGAAAGCTCCTTTTGGACTCAGCAATTAATGAATTGCAGAAGTGAGAGGTCTGTCTTTAAGGAAAACGGCTCATAAGAAAAAGCCCAAGTACAAGATCAGACAGCAAGAGACAAGCATGTTGTTTATGATTATTTTAAAATTTAATGTTTTACTAATTTAAATTTTTACTTTTTTTTTTTTTTAAGATTTTATTTTTTCCTTTTTCTCCCCAAAGCCCCCCGGTACATAGTTGTGTATTCTTCCTTGTGGGTTCCTCTAGTTGTGGCATGTGGGACGCTGCCTCAGCGTGGTCTGACGAGCAGTGCCATGTCCGCGCCCAGGATTCGAACCGTCGAAACACTGGGCCGCCTGCAGCGGAGCACGCGAACTTAACCACTCGGCCACGGGGCCAGCCCCTTAAATTTTTACTTTTATATGTATTTGCTGTGTGTGTAGGCTAGAGAAAGGTCTGGAAAATATTATATGGTTATCTCCTGGGGATTAGCAAGGGGTTTGAAGAATATTTTGTTTTTTCTTTTGTACATTTCTTAAAATGATTAACAAACAGCATTTATAACTCTGAGAATTGGGGCAGGGGAGGTGAATTTTAGTTATCCAGAACAAAAGGTTTACAAGTAGGTCACAGTAAGAAGGGAACCATCTAGAAAACAATGGGTTGCCAAAGCAGTCACTTCTTTAGGCTTTGTAAGAGTGCCACCTACTGGAATCTCCCGAAATGAACTTCTGAAAAACTGCTTTTCAAGCCACTTGAGGTATGTTTGATACTAGAAAGTTTATTTATTTTATTTTATTTTAATTTTTTTATCCTTTTTATTTTTGAGGAAGATTAGCCCTGAGCTAACTACTGCCAATCCTCCTCTTTTTGCTGAGGAAGACTGGCCCTGAGCTAACATCCGTGCCCATCTTCCTCTACTTTATACATGGGATGCCTACCACAGCGTGGTTTTTGCCAAGTGGTGCCATGTCCGCACCCGGGATCCGAACCAGCGAACCCCGGGCCGCGGAGAAGCGGAACGTGCGAACTTAACCGCTGCACCACCGGGCCGGCCCCAAAAGTTTATTTTTTAAAAAAAGAGAGAAAGAAAAGACAAGAGAAAAAGGCAAACCTGCTTAAAGGCATTAACTTAATAAAATTTTCGTACTTAAATGGTAAGTGTTATTAATTTCCAGAAAGTCCACCAGTAAGGAAGCATAAAGTAAAGAAGAAAGTTAGTAATTATTTAGAGTTTAGAACCAGACAGCCAACCTGAACTACTCAGGCTTTTAAAAATATGCTCAAACATCAAGTGAAAAATTTATTCATATAGCTGAGTGAATGGCTTTTTGTGGGATAGCAAATGTTTCTTAAATCTTGGAACTGGATCTGAGTTAAATGTCATAGTTTAATATTAGTACCATAAACTCAAAATCAAACTAAAAAAATTAGTGTCCTAACTGAATGTATCCTCTCCATCACTACAGCTTTTAATAAAAGCTATGGCTGCAACATTCAGCAACATATTTATACGAGAATTTGTTAAGACTAGAATTCATGGTTGAAAAATAATCACCCAGTGAAACAGATAAATTATGGTACATCCATACAGTAGAATACAACCTACCAATAAAAGGATGGAACCACTATCACAAAAACACAATGGATGAATTTCAAGACCATTATGCTGAACAAAAGCAGCCAGACACAAAAGAATACATATTGTATGATTACATTTATACGAAACTCCAGGGCAAACAAGTCTAATCTATAGTGACAGAAAGCAGATCAGTGGTCGCCTGGGCTGAAACGAGTGAAGGAGTAGGGATTAACTGATTAACTGGAAGGGTCACAAGAGAACCTTTAGGACTGATGAAAATGCTCTATATCTTGATTATGGCGATGGTTACCTGGGTATATCCATTTGTCAAAACTCTTCAAACTGTTCACTTAAAATGGGCATATTTTATTGTACATAAATCATACCTCAATAAAGTTGATCTTAAAATAAAAATAATAACTTTAATAGTCTGTCTTCATGATAATGCTGTGTTGAAAGCACAAAGAGGCCATGTAGGATAATCAATGGTGTGCTAGGGTGGGCTTGCACCTGCTCTTAAGTGCTGACTGATAAATATTAAGGAATTCTCAAGCTGGCTATTAAGCCACTGGTAACTTGCAGTTGGCCATGAAGTAAATATTGACGCTATGGAGCTTGGGCTCTATTTATGTACCCCCTGGGGAGCTGGTTTATACCAGCACACCACTGAGCATAGTAGTTAAGGACATAGACGCAGAGGCTGATTGCCTGGGTTTGGGTTCCAGCTCTGCCACTTTCTAGCTGTTTTATTTACCCCTCTGTTCCTCAGTTTTTGATCTGCAAAAGCAGGGCAGTAACAGTACCCACCTCACATGATTGTTACGAGGATTCAATGAGTTAATTTACACATTGCACATAATAAGCACTAACTAAATGTTAGCTGTTTTCATTAATAGAAAGGAAAAACAAAGTCACTCTACAACAAGAAATTAATTCATTTGCAGATTTCCCCCCAGACCCCTACACTTAATTATTCTTTGCCTTCTCTTCATGCAAACTCCCAAACCATTCCATTTTTAAAATAGAAATGTGCGATTTTCTTTTTCACCTGAAATATTTCTCTTTAGCTGACTGCTTAAAGGGTCCAATTTTCTCACCTGATATATTGGAGGTAAGAATATTTGTCTTCCCTGCATCACAAGCTGTTGTGTACATGAAAAAGCCAATTTTTTTGAAACAGCTTTGAAACCTGTAAAGCACATCAAAATTGGAAGATGCGAATGTTCATGTAGCTGCTCAGATTAAAGAGGAGGATTCTTCTACTAGTCAGTATAGAGTATAGCAAACAGATTGAGGAAAATCTTAGTACTTTTGGGGATTATCACTCACAATTTTAGGGTTGCCTTCCTGTAATGAGCATAGTAAAACTTTTTGCAAAATCCTGAATAAATACAATGCTTTACACACATGCAATAGATTGCGAAATTCAGAGTAGATATTTGAACTTTACAGAATGTGAACACATGACATCAAGCCTTTTAGAAACAATTTCTGAACTCTGGTCTTCCTTCAAAGCTAAACTGCTTGTGAATTTCAGTTGCTAAAATATGCCATTGCTAATGTTTCATTACGCACGTATTCTTAAAGAAATGCAATTTTTCTTCACTATCATGGAAACAGACCTTAGAAGCAGACCTTTAAATAAAGCACGCTAATAAAACAGACCACAGAGAGGTAGCATGGTCTCGTAGATAGAAACTAGATGGTATTTCAGGTTTTGCTCAGTGAGTCATTATTTTACTCAGAATAAGTTACTCAATTTGAGATGATTCACCTTTTACAAAAAGACAATAATAATATCACATATAGGGGCTGCCCAGTGGCCGAGTGGTTAAGTTCGTGTGCTCTGCTTCAGCAGCCCAGGATTTGAAGGTTCAGACCCTGGGCACAGACCTACACACCACTTATCAAGCCATGCTGTGGCAGGTGTCCCATATACGAAACAGAGGAAGATGGGCGTGGATGTTAGCTCAGGGCCAGTATTCCTAAGAAAAATTTTTTTTAAATAATATCACATATAATCACACTGGCCCAGCATTTTGAAATTCTCATGAAAACACCATAAACCCAGGGTGCTATGCACTTGGCTGGTCAGGATATGTTCATTTTAGTTATCAGCTTGGAAACCACCACTTGAAGTTATACATACGTGAAATTTCTGCTGAGAAAAATGTATCCATTTTGAAATATTTCATTTATTTGCATATACCATGGGATTTTTAAAAAAATCACTTGTCTGCAATTTCACATTTCAAATGAACAGAGCTGCAAATATAATTTCTTTTGACCAGTTGAAACATAATTTTTATTTTTTTCAAACAATGTTCAATTGAAATATTTATGTATACATGTGGAGCACCACAGATTTATTTGTGTATCCATTCATTCAACAAATATTTACTTAGCACCAACTATATATGTCTTTACATAATCTATTGAAAATAAACTTAGCTTTTATGAACTGAAAGTTTTACACATGATTTTTCTTTGTTGCATTGGAGCAAATGGAATAAGGTAAGTCATCATCATTTTTAATTGCCAAAAGTGTCATTGCTCCACACGTGGTATACACTGATTATTTAACAAGCGGTGAGGAGAATTAGTCAACTCCTTTTGGAAGATATGACACCTCCTCATTCATTTCTATAAGTGTTATAAGTTTTCAAAAGGAGCAACTCATACTGTTAAACAGATATTTTCAGGGCATATTTTTAAGTTATGATACTCTTAAATATTTAATTACATTTTATATTACCTTTTTCATTATATAAAAGTACCTCCAAGGTACTTTAAGATGTTTTCACTGGACATCCATTTTTAAACAACCTCATGTGCTCATGCTGGATGATAGAGGAATTTTAATGTTACACATCCCCCTCTTACTTACTAAGTGACTGAGTAGGCTGATAACTAACAAGATAAATTTTAATCATTGTTTTAGAAAAACAAACATATACGATCAGCATCTAAACAAAAGATAATCCTGGAACAAAAACTGCAGAATTGGATCCAAACTAGTACAGAATTTATTCGTCAGTGTTGATATAGATAAAGCAGAACAATGAAGTCTAGTTTACTTAATCAGAAGGAACCAGTCTGGTCTCATTAATCAGAGGCTGGGGGAAAGGAAACGTCCTCCAGGTGATGTGAACGTGGGAGAATTTGACTCAGTTCCCCTCTGGAGTCTTCAGCGGACAATCTCTCTCCCCTACGTGACTCTGGAAGGTGTTTTTACAGCTTGTAGAGCTGGAAGGAGTAAGGAGAACTGAATGTGAACCAGTGGGAAGATGGGAACCACTCTAGGGGAAGGTAGGTCTCAGCAGCGAGGAGAGCCCAGCGAAGGTGTTAGTCATCCTTATCATCATTATCTGTCACCTCCAGGGTACACAGCAAACAGCTGCATGACAGAAGAAATGATTTCTGAGGAGTGAAGGGACAATATAATATTGTAATTCCCAAGACACAAAGCTAAAGCGTCAGGTTACACAATTATTTGCTGATTTACCCAGAGGGAGGTTTTTAATCTGCATTTTCCAAAGTACTGGCACTCTGAAAACCTCACCACATAAAACGACATTCCAAAGATGAGCAACATGCATCAGAAAACACTTGCTATATACGCATATACCCAGACATCTTAGATCATCATAACTTCTCTCTGTTTAGGATGTTTATGGGTCATTTAATTTATTTTTAGGGTTGTCAGAAAAATCACCCAAAGGCATTATTTTAACAAATTTATACATTTCAGTCAAATTGAACTTTAGCTAAACAAGCCAAGAAAAGTTATTCTGCCATCAATGTTGGTCTAAAAATCCTTCAATTGTGGATTTTTAACTAGGTCAAGCTCCTAATCTCCTGAATCCATCAATTTATTTATTCATTCATTCAACAAATATTCTAAGCACATCCTGACCATATCTGGCACTTTGCCCCCTAAATATCTGTGATCTAATTACTTCTCTCTATTTCCACTACCTCCACCCTGGTCCAAGCCACCATTCATCATCTCTCACCTGGATGACCACACAGCTTCCACTTGCACCCTCTCCATTCCGTTCACCCCACCAAAGGCAGGGAGAGATCGTTTCGAAAACACAAACCTGATCACCATTACTTAAACATTTCAAAGGCTTCCTATGGTCCTTGGAGTAAAGACCAAAATCTAGCAAGGTCTAGATTTCCTTCTCTAGGGTCCCTTTCTCCTCTCTCCAATTGTGTGCCTCCCTTCCGTCTATACTTCACCAACCCTACTAGCCTAGTTCAGCTTTCCTACACCCTACCCCTCCCCACAGGCTTTGCCCCTCTGCCTAGAATGTGCTTCCTCTCTGCTTTGGCCTTGCTTACTCCTACTTACCAGTTAGGTTTGAATTCAAGTGCCACCTCCCCCAAAAGCCTTGACTCAAAGGTCACCCCTGCCCGCCCCCCCCCCCAAACCACCACTAACCAAGTCAGGTTCTTCTCGTATACATTCAGAGTACACTGCAGTCTTCCTTCACTGCTCTTAGCAAAATTTGCAATTATGTATTTATTTAGAGGAGTATTGAATTAATGTCTGCTTCTCCCATTGCAAGACCTCCAAGGTCTCTACTGTTCTGCCTTCCACTGTAGCCCTGGTGTCTAGTGCAGTGCATAAAACAGCACATTTAGCCTACTGCATAGGAGACAATCAACATTTGTTGAATATATGCACATAGAATCGTGTACAAGTGGCTAGACTGTTCACTCCATAAAAGCTGTAACAACAGTACTATGGTATCCCCAGTACTTATCATAGGGCTAGCACAGAAGAGGCATGCAATACGCACTCGTTGCATGAATACTGTGTGGTGGTGATATACTTCTCCTATTATTTTCTTGAAACATTCATCAGATTTTTATTTATTTATTAACTCTAAATTTTTCACCACTCATCTTCGGTAAACCAAACAAACGCTAGCTTACTAATGCACGGCAGCTAAGTAGGGTCCATCACACAGGAGGCCCTGAGAGGATGCTTTGAATATATTTAATCTTAATCTATTTTGGTTACTTTATTTTAAAAAATGCAAGAGTCACATACAAATGAATTCCACTTACTTTATTCTCTTTAAATCTTAATAAATAAATTATGCTATCAGGGATTAAAACAACACTAAGAAGTTGTTTGCATTTTACTGAGAAATTCATTGAATTCAATTAATATTTTCAGAAAACTTTCAAGATACTTGGCACTCAGTGAAGACATAAATTTTATCTAAAGTATACAAATTCTAATTTGGCAATTTCACGAGGCACATTGATGTAAATCATATTGCTCAATATGCCGTATCTGATGACTCAACAGAAAGTGATCTTCAGTGTCAATAAGCGCTCTTTTAATTCCTGATGCTTTTTTTAAGGAAATTAACCTGAGAACTTTTTCCCATATATCTAAAGAGTCCTAAGAGTTGTTTTCACAAAATAGCATAACTTGGTTTCTATGAAGTCTTTATTAGCAAAAATAAACTGCGTCCATTAATGTTTAGTTACAGAATCCTCTTATTCATCATTAGAGCGTGCTTTGTATATAGGCAATCGACTAACTAGGGATACAAAATTGAGTTCTCTTAAAGCAACTGACAGAAGAAAGACTAGCTTTCTGTGAAAAAACTGAAACTGAAACCTTAATACTCTGGGCAATCTAGACCAAAATAGAACCTGTTTCTTCTTAGTTAACCAAGGTGTTCTATTTAAAATAGACCTTTCTCTCAATCAAACTAATATTTACTGAAAGCATTACAGAAGCACCTGTGAGCAAATATGGACATATATGCAAATAACATTACCCTGAGGTATAAAGAAACCTGCCTATGAGAAAAAGTGTAGATGAGGTACTTAGAGAAATGTGGAAGAGAAAAGAATACACAGGGCTGGGGCATGAGGACCAGGGCCACTTTGAGGGCAGAGAAGCATTTGAGCAGAGCCTTGATGAGCACAGAAAATTTCAGTGTATGGCATTAAATGGAAGTGGAGAGGCAGGGAGAGGACCAAAGAGCGTCTCCCCTAGAATGCCTTCCCCCGAGACTAGGTGAGCTTCTTCGGAGAACCCCGTGTTCTTTGACCATGAACTTTATTTTTATAAGATGTTTGTGTATCTGACTCCTCTTCAAAGGCAGGGCCATGTATTATGACCATCCAGAAATAAATTCCCAGCATTTAATGCAGTCTCTGACAGAATGTAGGTATGCCAAATACACGTTGGTTGAAGTGATGTTTAGAAACATCACATTTGGTCTACATGTTGTTAAAATGATTGAAAAATTCAGAAGAAAGGATTTGCTGAAATCCAATGAAAACTTCAATCAAGCCCATCATTTGGCACAGTTTAAAGTAAAAGCATGTGTTGACCAAACATTTCATTTTGGCACCAGTCATGCCATCACATCAGTATGGCTTCAGTTTATGAGTCGTTGAAAATTCTGTAATCTCAGAATAATGATACAGTGTATTTTAATCACTATATTACAGCAAGTGAGGACACAGGAAAACAGAACCAACAATATTGCAAAGTGCCCACTAACCAATCTTTGTTAGAAAGAATCTCCTACTCAGCAGTACTATAACACCAACACCTAACAGCTGAACAACCCAGAAGAAAAAATATGAATTGTCAGGGAAAGTTTGCTTAGAGGGAAATGAATATCCTATGCATATTATTACATTTTGCAATCACTCATGTTGTAATATAGAAATTTGATTTTAATTGAAGGAGGAAGGTAATTATAGCTTAGAAGCCAACTAGTTAATCAACACCACAATCAGAAATTGAGTGACAAGCCTTGGCCCCACACCCAAGAACAAAGGGTAAACCGAAAAAGTGAGTAAAACAAAAGACACCTGAGCCATCCTGAAACCAAGGAAAGGGGGAGGGTTTTATGTTACTGATGATTAATTATTACATTTAAATAATTTTTATAAATTTAATTGGGAACAAGAAATTCTGTGCTATATTATATCACTGGAAGTAATGTTATTCTAGAGATTGAAGCAATGGAATAAAACACAGTTAGCAGACATTCCTTAAGAAAATATTCCTTGAACGAATACTAGAGACAGAAAAAAAGAAGTCAGATCAATCCTAAAGATTTAGAAGTGATCCAAGTAAGGGCAACCTAGATGATGACGGAAGTGAAAACCTTGTCATCTATGGAGCAATTGAATGAACTGGTGACCCCTTTGCTTAGAAAACAAAAGATTTAGAGGATAGATCTCGCTCATGAGTAGAAGACAAAAACAACAACAAACAAACACAGAGCAACAGAGATTGGATTGGTGGTTACCATAGGGGAAGGGGGGAGCGGGGAGAGCAAAAGGGAGGATTAGGAACACGCTTGGTGATCGACTATAATTAGTTTTTGGGTGGTGAACATGATGTAATCTACACAGAATTCAAAATATATTACGATGTACATCTGAAAGCTATATAATGTTATAATCCAATGTTACTGCAATAAAAAAAATAAAATAAAATAAAAGATTTAGAGGATAGAGTAACCCTCTTCAAACATCCAATAGAAGCCAAAGCTAAGTTCCGTGTGGCAAATGCCAGCTATATTTGGTGTGGTGTATTTCAGTTCAATGTAAAGACAAAGGTTTTAGTAATTAGAGCAGCCCAAAAATGGAACACCTTGTGAGACAATGAGTTTCCCTTCACTAGAAATATTCAAGTAGAGACTGGAGATATTTGATTAATGGAGTTCTGCTCAGTGTTGAATATTTTTAGCAAGAGAAGCAGGAAAGGAACTAACACATCTGAGTACCTACCATTTGCAAGATGCTTTGTATGTGTAATCTAAATTGGTAGTCTCAAACTTATGACTTGGATATTATGTCTCATATGAGGACACTAAGTTTCAGAGAGGTTAAATAACTAACCACACACCCAGTAAGAGGCAGAGCTAGGATTTGAAATCTGGTAATGACTTCTAAGGTCCCTCACAAATTCTGTCCTGGTTGATGCCATGACAGTGATTGTGTTAGTGGTCTAGATAATTCCATTCTGAAAATTTCTGTCAATTTATCTAGTCTGGTATTATTTCTGTCAGAACATCCAGAGACTCTTGGACAAAGAGCATATTAGCTTTCCCCTTGACATCAAACTCAAAAGATAAATCATCTTTTAGGTCCCTTCCAGCTGAATTCTGTAATCTTGATGAATCCCTAATGACCCATCTAAACTAGAAGAGGCAAAGAGTTGTAGCTCATATGGATCCAGGCATAAGCCCATAGGCAAGTGGTTGTGGCTTCCTGGATTAATGTTATTTATAAGAGTTCTACAGTCGGTCTAGGTTCAGCATGAAAGTGTGTCATTATCAATTAGAAACACCCACCATAAGTACAGCACAGAAGAGCAGCAGCAAGAATTTTTTCTGTTTGTCATCTCTAATCTACACATTTCC